AATTTAATAATTACTAAAAACTATAAAAATATAGAATTTCAATAAATTATTTTTGGAGTATAATATGCAATCCTCTCAAGTAATGTACGATTCTTCAATTTATTTATTTATTTATGTGTGCGGCTAAGATTAGGTTTAGTATCTATTCTTAATAATGAGCACAACATATATACGTATATTAGCTCGGGCACTCTTCTCATCTTCTGCTAACTTTTGTATATTTTTTTATTGAGTATATATATATATATATATATATATTGTGAACGAGTGATTGAGAATCTAAAAATTAAATACTACATACATAGCATAACATAGATTATAATTAATAAAATAAAGATTCTATCTTGTTCAACCACTTTTGAGCAAAAGAAAAAGTACCCAATTACATTTTTTTTTTTTTCCTCAAAAAAATTATTCTCTACAGATATGTATATGTATATGTATATGTATACATATAGATGTGTGCTGTAATTAATTATTTACAGGTTTATAAGAGAGAACATATAGATATATATTAAAACTTGTTTTTTGATCCTTATATTACTTCTCTAGCACTGAAATGCTATAGCTAGGGAGAATAATAATAGACTCCTCTTTCATTAAAATAAGAAATGTATTATTAATTAATATATACTTTACGATTTAATATTACATTTTTAATTTCTCTTTTTTTTTTTTTTTTAATTTTGTTTTCTGAGTACAAAAGGCTTTACTTTCCCCCTCGTGCTGTCAGTTGGATTTTTCCTTTTTTTTTTTTTTTTTTTTTTTTTGGTTTTTGTTTTGTTCTGACCTTTTGCTAATCTTCTTTTTAATTTTAATTTTCTATCTGTAAACCCATCTAATTAATTATTTATTAGCAAGAATGATTAAAGAATATCAATAGGCCAAGTCTAAGACGCTTAAAGCCCAGTCCAATTCTATTTAAAGCCCACTCAATTTCTTTTTATTTTTTCTTCGGCCCAGAACTAAAGGGGCCCAGCCCGTTATCATTTCCGCTGAGACGGTGTCGTTTGCGGCTGCAGCACCTTCTCTTCTTCCTTCCTTCTCTTGAATTACAGGCTTCTCAATAAATTACTCGTAATTTTTTTTTTTAATAGAAAAAAAAAAAAGAACTCTTTTTCTTAACACGGTAGGTAAATATTAAGTATTATATTTATTTACAACCTAAGATATATATATATATATATATTTAAATTACATTAAAATAATTAATTTCTAAAGAGTAGGTGGTTTAGATTATGTTGGCATAATTAACAATTCTGAATTTTGGTTCCACTTTTCAAATATACAACTTTTTTCTTTTTAACTTTTGAATTTGATTGCATCCAAATTTAACAAAACCCCAAAATTATTCAAACATGACCACAGATTTTCAAATCATTTATTGCTATCATTGTCAATATTTTATTACCATTACGAAAGCGATATTACCAAAAGCAAAACAGAATGAACGAACAATATTAGTTATCACTTTTTTTTTTTTTTTTTTTTTCAGATAATTTCAGTTCCAATTGAATTATATATTACTTACGTGTACTCAAGAAAAACAGAAGATATACGGTGAGAATTTTTTATAAAAAATTTATATATCTACGTTTTAAAAATTTAAATATAAATATATGACTCTTAGTTATTGAAATATATAAATTTTTTACACAAAAATTTCTCACCGTATATCTTTGGTCTTTCTGGAGCACGCGTAAGAATATCTTGTTATTGCTCTTGCTCAAACAAAATGGTCTTTCTCAAATCAATAAAGCTATTTTTAGTTTTTAAAAGCCAAAAAAATTTACATTTGTATATCGTCTTCATTTTTTAAGACTTGACATACTCACAGCTTAAAGAAAAATGGAGATACCAGTTGAAATAGTATTAGTAATCTCAATTAGTTTCAGCCACCATCTTGGTATCTTTCTGGCGGGTTCTAGACTGGGTTTGGTTGAGGCCAAAGAAGCTTGAAAGATGTCTGCGGCAGCAAGGTCTCGACGGCAACCCTTATCGATTTCTCTATGGAGACACCATAGAAAATTCCGAGATGATAAGACGAGCAAGATCCAAACCAATCAGTTTAAGTGACGATATTGCATCGTATGTCACTCCATTCTTGTGTCAGACGGTCAAGAATTATGGTAAGTATGATAATCATGATTATATGTACAAATACTAGAGATATATATATATATCATGGGTTATTATATATAAATATAAATATATATATGTGTGTATGGTTGGTGCAGGGAAGAATTCTTTTGCTTGGTTTGGACCAAGGCCAAGAGTGACTTTAATGAATCCAGGGCTGATTAAAGATGTGTTAACCAAAATTTATGATTTCCGTAAACCAAATACAAATCCTCTAACCAGAGTTCTGGTGACCGGACTCGTAAATCATGAGGAAGAGAAATGGGCTAAACATAGAAGGATTATTAATCCAGCATTTCATCTTAAAAAATTGGAGGTAATTTTTAATTACATGATGATCAGTTCCTGTTCTAACTTTTACTAATCCCCCCCCCCCCCCCCTTGTGGGTTTTTAATTTTATATTAAAAAAGATATATATTTTTTGTTCAATTACAGAATATGGTTCCTGCATTCCACCAAAGTTGTAGTGAAATGATCAGCAAATGGGAGGAGATGGTATCTAATGAGGGATGGTGCGAGTTAGATGTGTGGCCTTGTCTTGTAAACTTGACAAGCGATGTGATTTCTCGAGCAGCATTTGGTAGCAGCTACGAAGAAGGCAAGAGAATTTTTCACCTCATAGACCAACTTCGCTATCTCACGCAACAACTTATACAATCTGTTTACATTCCCGGGTGGAGGTAACTACTACGCTTTTTACTAAAATCATATATTTCAATAATTAAGTAGCCTCCTTATAAACTAATACTAAATTTTATGTACATGTGACATCTCATTATACATATATAGGTTTCTACCAACTAAACTTAACAAGAAGCTAAAGGCATGTGACACAGAGATAAGGTGTTCGCTAAAAGGGGTCATCAATAAACGAGAGAAGGCCATGAAAGCAGGGGAGGTTGATAATGATGATTTACTGGGTACATTAATGGAAGCAAATTCTAGAGAGATTCAAGAAAATGGTGGTGGTACTGGAATGAGCCTTACAGATGTGATAGATGAGTGTAAGATATTTTACTTTGCTGGTCAAGAAACCACATCTGTATTGCTTGTTTGGACAATGGTTCTTTTAGCCCATCACCCAATTTGGCAATCTCGTGCTAGAGAAGAAGTTCTCCGAGTTTTTGGTCACAACAAACCCGACTTTAATGGATTGAATCGTCTTAAAATTGTAAGTATATACATATATATATATATATATACACACACATATACTCCTCGTCGTTACATATAATCGTCTTTATGAGTGAAAAAGAAGTAGATTTTAGCGTTTGACTCTCCATCTATGTTTACATATAATTGATTAATGGAATGTTGCAGGTGACCATGATTTTGTACGAGGTTCTGAGATTATATCCACCGGCTGTGCAGCTTATTCGATTAGTTGGGAAAGAAACGAAACTGGGTAACTTGGTACTACCAGCTGGTGTTGAAATCAGCATTCCGAATATCCTGATTCATCGTGATCCAGAACTGTGGGGTGATGATGCCGGGGAGTTCAAACCAGAGAGGTTTGCAGAAGGAGTTTCAATGGCGACAAAGAACCAAAGCTCGTTCCTTCCATTTTCATCGGGTCCAAGAATCTGTATTGGTCAGAATTTTGCGATGATGGAAGCAAAGATAGCTCTGGCAATGATCCTGCAACACTTCGAGTTTGAGTTATCCTCAACTTATACTCATTCACCCGTTCTGGTTTTAACCGCGCATCCACAGTATGGTGCTAATATGATTTTACGTAAGCTCTAATGCTATAAATCAGAAAGTAAATATTATGATACCGACAAAGATATCAAATACGGTGCTTTTTGGAAGTTTATCATATTTAAGTTTCATTTTGTAAGCAAGAACATTATCTTGTTAGTTATAATAAATGTCTGAGAACATGGCCATCAATATGTATATATATATAAAATATTGAGTTCAATGTAGACACCTTTTATAGTAAAAATTTATGTATTCTAATAATTATTTAATATTTATATAGTAATAATAACACAATCAATCTTTAGATAAGGAAACAAAATAATCAATTTCTTAATGAAGGCACACAAAAACCAAAATTTAAATTAAATTTATACTGTCAAAAATGGTTGATGTGGATCTTATTGAATATTATAACTATATATATACAAGTTTTTTAGGATGTAGAAAAAATATGCAATTAATTACATAAGATGCAATTTACTCTTATATCATTTAACTTAATTCACTAAATAAGGTGTAACTGAATCTTATACTATTTCACCTAATTTGTTATTTCTTTAATATTCCTCGTTAAGGTGAACAGTAAATATTATCTATCACTAACTTATCAATAAGAATTTAGAATGTTGGATTGCTTAAGACTTTAATCAACACATTGAGAATTAGTAGGTATATTATAGTACTAATCAAGTTTTTCTCTGATAAAATATCTATCTAACTCAATATGTTTGGTATAGTCATGTTGTACCAAATTGTATGCAATGCTTACGACTAATATGTTGTTAAAGTATAGATGCATGAGATTTTCCTACTTGACTTAAAGATCTAAAAAAATTTTTATTCGTAATAGTTTACATACTCCTTATGTTGTTATTCAAAATTCTAATTTTGCACTTGATATTGCAACTACATTTTACTTCTTACTTTTCCAAGCAACTAAGGTTGCTCATGAGAAAGGTACAATATTCTCTAGTATATCTTCTATCAACAAATGACCATACATGATTCATATCAATATAGATTTCTATAAGTACTTTACGACTCTTCTTTAATATAATTACTTTTTCAAGTAACCTTTTTATGTAATACAATATTACGAAGGTTGAAGATTGTGCATGAATTGACTTTGTAATACTCAGTGCATAGGCAGTGTCTGTTCTCGTGAGAGGGGGTTAAGTATATCAATTTCCCAACCAATTTCTTATACATTTCATTGTTTATCTGCGAATTTTCTTATATTATTTTTAATTTGTGATTATGATCAATAAAAGCACTAACTAATTTGCATGCTAACTAACTGGAGTCCCTTAATAGGTCATGAATGTTTTTTTGCTAAGAAATAAAAATCTTAGACTTTGAGCGAGCAACTTGAATTATTAGAAAATACTTTTACTTACCGAGTTCCTTAATTACAAATTCTATTGTCAAACATTATATTAATATGAGTTTTTTTTTTCTTATTATCTTTTGTTACGATAATGTAATCAATTTATAAAAGTAGAGTTGTGACTCCATTTATTTCTAAGCATTTGATGAATAAAGTATGGTCTCATTGACCCTACTTAAATTCAAGATCTAGCATCGCTCTTGTGAAGTTACCAAACCATGCTCTTAAGAATTACTTGAGTCCTGTACATGACAATCTTTACTTTTCATAACTTATCTTGTTTTATTTCTTTATCAAACTTTAGTGAAATATTCATATAATTTTCTTTTTAATTTTCATGTAGGAAGATTTTTTTCACATCAAATTATTATAGTTGTCAATTAAAATGAACAGCCAGTGATAACAACATTCGTACAGGGCTCATCTTGGCTACTAGTACTAATCCCTCTTGATAATCTAATTTTTATGTCTGTGTATAGTCCTTTGGTGCCGATCTCGTTTTGTATTTCTTGATTGCCCCATCAACTTTGTATTTGATTGTAAAGATTAATTTGCATCCCATTAGATTTATGTTTTTTGGTAGACCCACAATTTTCTATGTCTAATTTTTTTTAAGTGTCTGCATTTCTACATTTATAATTTTTTTTATTATTTCTGCAAGATAATATTTTAAATATTATGTTATGAAAAGACTCAATATTTAAACTTGTAAGAAATTTTTTTATAAGATAATGAATACTTATATAATAATACAAACTGTGAGACTAAATAAAAATGGTATTTAATATATTTTATTGTATATTTATTAAGTATAATAGACATATCATTATTATACTATATAGGTTTTCTATGACTTACTTTAGTTTCATAATCAATGTCAGGTATGATATCTTGAGTAGATGAACATTCTAGTGGATTATGATGGTTCTCTTGTAATGATAATGTTAGGGTGTCTGATAATAGATGCAGTGTAAAGTCTTTTAAAAATTTTTTATCATTATCTTTTAACATAAACTTTGTGCGTAGGTTGTATGGACATAAACTGGACAGAAGATGGTATAAAGAGCTGAGCATCGTACATCTTACATCTTATAATAGAGAAATGTCGTGACAAATGGTGTTATATCTCCATCTAGCATTTGCCTCTTGTTGCAAGATGGTTGTGTTTGCATTGAGTCATGATAGATGGTGTCATGGCATATGAAAATGGCATAGAGAGAGCTACATCTTTGTCTGGTCACGACTGCGTCTAGTGATTATATTTGCTCGTGAGAGGGTCATGATATATAGCATCTTGACAGGTGACAATATTGCAGAGAGGGTCACGTATACGCCTGATAACGACTGCATTTAATAGTGCAATTGCGTCTGTTTATATCGCGGCTACCCACAAATGCACGGCTGAGGATTCTGACACCAACATGAAAATCGATTTGGTTGCTACTAGTGGCCAACAATGGTAGCTTGCAATTGATCTACAGTAGTCAATTATAAAGGTTAACCTAAGTTATCTACGGTAGTAAATTTCTTTTTTATTTCGACAATTATAATTGAATAGAGTTTATAATTGAATTATAATTTCTTTAATCTAGAACTATGATATCATATCAATAATTGTTAACGTGTATTTTATTAAATATTACAGTTATATATATAAGTTTTCTATAAAAAAAAAAAGGTAATTTAATTACATAAGATCCAATCTACTATTATACTTTTTAGCATAATTCAACACATACAACGTAATAAACTTCTATTTTCTTTAAACCAATTCACAATTTCTCAAACATATGCTAAAAAAAATAATAGCTCAACTTCCCCATGGCCACAGAAAAGGAAAGAAAAATCTCTGAGGAGCCAGATTAGAAATATATGATTAGTATCAACTGCTTTAAGTGATGCGAATAGTACAATGGAAATTTCAAAGGTCAATTTCTATACGCATTCATATCATCCACAGATTATACTTTTTTCAATTCAGCAAAAGAACAAAAAGAAAAACATTTTGGGCAATTACGAAGGATATCATCCATATCCAAGATTAATTATTGTATATAATATCATATTGCCGTCCATCTTTAGATTTTTTTTAATTAAATCTGTTATTGCTATACACGAACACTATATACATACGTATATATTGCATATACAGGGGAGTCAAATACCTGCTGGAAAGATTTTGAAATTGTTCTTATATATATGTATATTCAGTTTGTGGTCTATATCTTTACTTAAGTTTCTTTTAGCAGTCCACGGTGATAATGATCTTGATTTTCAAAGAAGATATATATATATATATATATATATATTAAGGCACCTTCATGGAAGCATGATAAATTCGTACCATTCGGGACATTAATATTTGAGAATATTAGTCATTAGAGACACCCATTTGGAAAATTTTATGAAGACTAATTTTTGACTTGTAGATTTTCGCTTGATAAGCAAGAAAGAATTTTACCTCTCCCTCATGCACAGTAGAATTTTCTCTCTACTTTTTCTTAGAATTATGTTAATTGGAATCTTTTATGACACTACTGTAAATTAAGAGGCTAAAAATTACATTTACCTTTATTTATAAATATGAATACCCAAAAATGAAATGAAAAAATAAACACTAATATTTAAATATAATAAAAAAAAATTTAAAATATTATACAATCACGAAGTTAACATTAACAAGGTAAGAAATAATTTTTGAAAAGTACAAATAACTTTTGAAAAGAAAAAAGAAAAGTTGATCTTGACTTGTATCCAGACCAGGCTCAAAAAGTCAGAAACTTGATTGACTTGTTCAATTTCACTCGATTCACAAGAAACCATGCAAGGAAAAAAAAAAAACTTGATTTACAAGAAAGAAATTTCTATTTGCATGCACATTTTCCACCTTGCATGTAGACATATAAAATTATAAATACCTCCCTCATGTCTCTTATTCGTATCTCGTAGTGTGTGTGCATATATATACATATATATATATAGCTCACAAAGAAAACGAACTCAGACATATAATAATTGAACAGAAAATGCTGACAACAATTGCAACAACTGCTATCTTAATTGCTTTTGTGATATGTGTATGGCGGGTTCTGAACTGGGTTTGGTTAAACCCAAAGAAGCTGGAGAAGTGGCTGAGACAACAGGGTCTTGACGGCAATCAATATCGTCTTCTTCATGGAGACGCTAGAGAAAGTTCCATGATGCTTGTGGAGGCAAGCTCCAAACCCATTAGCCTCCACCATGACATTGCACCTTATGTCACTCCCTTCCTCTACCAGAGCCTCAAGAAATATGGTAAACTCATTACATAGTATGATGATGGATGGTCATTTACATATAATCAGTTTAGTTGGTACTTTAGAAATTAGTTTTGATTTTGAGAATTCTAAAAATTGTTGCAGGGAAAAATTCATTCACATGGCATGGACCAACACCAAGGGTAACCATAATGAACCCAGAACAGATCAAACATGTCTTTGCTAAAACTAATGAGTTTCATAGACAAGAATTGAGTCCTCTATTAAAACTTCTTGTGACTGGACTAGTAAGTCATGAAGGTGAGAAATGGGCTAAACATAGAAGAATTATTAATCCAGCATTCCATCAAGAAAAGTTAAAGGTAAAATTTCCAACACACAGACATGATATGTTATTTTATGTTCTGGTATTTACATGGATATATTTCTTGAACAGAATATGTTACCTGCATTCTATGAAAGCAATAGAGATATGATGAACAAATGGGAGGAGTTAGTCTCTGATAAGGAATGGATTGAGTTGGATGTGTGGCCTCATCTTAATGATCTGACAAGAGATATAATTTCTCGAACGGCGTTTGGAAGCAGCCATGAGGAAGGGAAAAGAATCTTCCAACTGATGGATGAACTTGCCATTCTCATACAACAACTTGTACAAAATGTTTATATTCCAGGATGGAGGTAATTGTTAAATGTGCAAACAATCTTTCAAGCTCGTCTATGTGTATATATATATATACAACATTTCTTACATACATATTTATATAGGTTTCTACCAACTAAATTTAATAAGAAGCTAAAGGCGTGTGACACGGAGATAAGATATTTACTAAAAGGGATCATCAATAAAAGAGAGAAGGCCATGAAAGCAGGAGAGGTTGATAATAATGATTTACTAGGTATGTTAATGGAAGCAAATTCTAGAGAGATTCAAGAAAATGGTGGTGGTACTGGAATGAGCCTTACAGATGTGATGGATGAGTGTAAGATATTTTACTTTGCTGGTCAAGAAACCACATCTGTGTTGCTTGTTTGGACAATGGTTCTTTTAGCCAAGCACCCAATTTGGCAAACTCGTGCTAGAGACGAAGTTCTTGAAGTTTTTGGTAACAATAGACCTGACTTTAATGGATTGAATCGTCTTAAAATTGTAAGTAATTTATCTCACCTAGTTAACGTTACAAAATTCATTCATGAATGCTGTATGCATCACTTGTATATAACCGACTGAATTTCCTATATAGGTATCAATGATAATAGACGAGGTTTTAAGATTATATCCTCCGGCAACCCAGCTTGTTCGATCAATTAAGAAAGAAACGAGACTAGGAAACTTGGTATTACCAGCTGGAGTGGAAATCAACATGCCAGTTATGCTTGTACACCACGATCGTGAGTTATGGGGCGATGATGCAACAGAGTTCAAACCAGAGAGATTTGCAGAAGGAGTTTCCAAGGCGACAAAGAACCAAGTTTCATTCATCCCTTTCGCACGGGGTCCGAGAATATGTATTGGGCAAAACTTTGCTCTTACAGAAGCAAAAATGGCGTTGGCAATGATCCTGCAACGTTTCACTTTTGAGCTATCTCCGTCCTACGCTCATTCTCCTATTCTGGTTGCAACATTGCACCCACAACATGGTGCTCCATTGATTTTACGAAGGCTCTAATCGGTACATGAAGGGCCGCACCGTATTGCTGCCTTCTGACTTTTCAGAATACCATGCATGCTATATACTTTCATATATTGCTTTTATTAAGAGTTTTGATTTTCACAGACCATCAATAATGTTGTGTAGTATTTGATTATCGTATTCCTTTTCTTTTGTGATTTCAATAAAGCTTAATAATCCCAACTTAGCAATATATACGTATAATTGATTTACAAATCCCTTCCACAATTAAATATGTAAAACCTCTACTCTGCAGGAGACAGTAATGCTTCAATTTCGACTATCTTAATAGAACTAGATATTGCCTTTCATTGCTTTAGCACTTTAATTTGAATGTCTAACCTGGGCATTTCAATCCCAAGTAACTTCATGAAGATCTATTGAGCTCTCAGAAGTTGATTTCACAATAACTTGAATGTTCGTATCTTGAATCTTCAAAAGGTGGGACCATTTCTGCTCCCATCAGGGCCAACGAACACCAGTATGACTCTTCCTATGAAAGACAACAATTCCAAATGAACACTTACCTATACAACTTAATAAGACCACAGCTCATAATACTGAAAAATACTGCAGCAGAGTTTAAATCAAAAAACAGTCTCACTTGAAAAGAAATGTCCCAGCCTAATCCAGGAGCTAAAATCAGCCAAACAAACTGTTGAAAGGCTTATTAGGCAAGGTAAAGGTATGAAGCAGCAAAAACTTGTAGCAGAATTTATTCCAAACTTGTAATAATAAATCCCCAGCCAGCCACAGACCGACCAGAAAAATTGTCCAACAAAAGTCACAGACAAAACCACCCTTTAGCAAAATATATAAGCACAGATTGCTGGGGGATTGAGCAGAAAATAAAGCATATATAAATATTTCGTTCTCTACAAACAAAAGATCCAATATTAGTAAACTTTACCAAAAAACCAAAGTGGACGAAAAGAAAAAAGCAGAAAGAGAAAGAACCATCAGCAACCAAAGAGTTTCCCCAGACGCATTGCTGTGCGGTCCGCATCATGGTACGATCTTCCCAAGAAGATCACATCATTTGGTTCCTTCTCTATTCTCAAATTCAAACTGAAATTTAAAAAAGTAAATTAAGAAAACTATATACAATTAGAGCTCAGATCAGATAAGGGTGTAGAGAAATTTATCAGCACAGACCCGAAGATCATAAGAGTGGTGCATGACTTTCTCACTTTCCTCCTCACTGCCCATACAAACACAAATCGAATTCCTTAACCCAGACACAGAACAGAAAACTAAACCCAAAATTTTACCATTATCATGTTTTGGAAATAACATAGACATTACTTCAAATAAAATAGATTCTACAGACACGAACTGATTTCTCTTTCTCCTTTCTCTACAATTCTCCATTCCTTCTTTAATTCCAGTTTTAGCTCCTCCATCTTCAAATTGTTTTATTATACTCACCAGCAAGACCATGAATGTACATGCGAGAGATATAGAAAAGTAGAAGGAATATTTAGGGCAGTTCCCTGAATTAGAACATGAAAGAAAACATGTAAAACCTTGAGGCTGCCCGATATGAATCAACTATAGGCCGGGTGAAATTGAGATCTCACATAAATTTTCAAAGTAAGAACTCATTTGGATCGGCCAAAACATACCAAATAAGAACCAAAAGGATTTCTTTGAAGTTCTTGCCCCCACACACGAAAAAGATAACACAAAAAGAATCGAAAAGGAAAGATATGGACATAAGCGCGCATGTGACCTTCCTTTTCAATTGCAAGAGAAGAAAAGATATCTGCTTGCAGAGATTGAAGAGAAAGGATTTAGGGATTTCTCTGTACGCCTGCAACGGAACAAGAACCACATCGTGTTGCCGCTCTGTTCTCTCAAAGGCGAGTTGAAAAACCCTAGTAGTTGAAGTTCACATTTATAGGGTGGTGAGGTGCGAATTGTCCGCTTTACCCTCACGGTTGGGTCTGATTAGGAATACCCTTGGTTTTGTCTCCTTTGTGAAAAATAAATTAAAGCAGTAGTAAAAAATAATTTTAATATAAGATATCGTATTATTTTTAATTAATTAGAGTACAGAATTAGCAAGAAATAAGAAAATATTAAAAATGTAAAATAATGACAAAAAATAAAAGAAATTGCTTAAATTAAATAATTAAAATTATTTCATTTGATTTAATTATTTTATTTAATATAATCAAATTATCAGCAATTCCATATGAATTTTCAAAAATTGAGTTCATATGTTACATGTGCTCTGTTGTTTTTGACCGAATTCCTACAGACATTAAGGTATTATAATTATTTAATGTACTTGTACTATGAAGTGTTAGAAATATTATAAAAATAATTTTTAGTATAAATAGTTTAAAGGTAAAATTTGTATAACTGTTTGTCAAATTTATTGTCACAAGTGTTTTCCAATATAAATTCAAAAAGTGATAAACAAAGTCCATCAATAATTCATCTTCTTTTTTTTTTTTTTTTTTTTTTTTTTTGAGTGATTACTATCCTTTTAAATAGAGCTGATGAGGTACAGTTGGTCCGTGCTGAGAGTTTTATTAAATATTTTAAATTAATTTATTAATATGAAAATTTGATTATTATCTCTAATAGACACCTTCAAAAACGTAAAAAAATATATTGAGATTCTAGTTATTATTAAAGGATTAAAAAAAAAAAAAAAGTTTTTATCGCTTTTGATTACAGAATTGGTAACAACTTATGTTGTTAGCAAGATCATTTACATTTCTAAATACTAATAGAAAAATATTGATCAAAACAGTTCTTCAAACTAATTCGTCTCATTTTGTAAGTATTTTCTCAATATGTAAATCTGTCTAATGTAATGTTACTTACATAATTTAAAATTTCTAGCGAAATAAACTAGAGACACAAATAATACTTGTTGGTATGGTGGATATGATATTAGAGTAAAGATGACTAAATGATAAGCTTAAAAACTCCTTACAATAACTTTAGTTATGCTCTTAATAGAGAATAAATGTATCATATTCTAAAAAAAAAAAAAATTATTGTATAACGTATTTAAAGTAAACTATTTTTAAATAAATAATTTTCTTTTAGCAATAATATGATATGATTTAAGTAATACTTGGATAAGAATTTTGAAAGGACGAAACTTATTGCTTAGAAGATTTAGACGAGAAATTAACGAAAGGACTAAAACATAATAAAATAAATTAATCTTTTATTAGAGAGTCAGTTAATATATGCTTTTTAATTTTGATGAGATGTTAAAGATTGACCTCCATAAACCAACGAAAAACAAAAGTCAACGTTGAACATTATTATAAATATTTTTTATAACATAATAGATATATATATACCAGCAAAATCTTCTTATCTAGTAGATTATTTTCCTCGTGTATTTTATTGGATGGACTAATTACATTATTATTATTATTATTATTATTATTATTATTACTACGAGATATGGAGGATATCATAATATTTAAAAATAAATAAATAAAAATACAAGTCAACTTAGAATAAATTGAGTGGTATATTTAAAAAACTAAGTTTTTTCTTATAGTATAAAACAAGATCCAATAGTGATTTGATCGAAATTTTTTCAATAAAAAATCTACACATTTTTATTAATGAAAATAATATATATATATATAAAATATAAAGAAAATATTTTTAAAAATTACATTAAAAAAAACACAATCTGACAATTATTAATTTAAATAAACACGTTTCTTTATATAAAAAAATTAATATAAATACAGCTTGCATAAGCAATAGACTAGACAACCTCCAAGTAAAATTATTACACCTCCAATAAATAAATTAAATTGTTGTCTTGCTCAATTAATTTGTAACGACCCCGGAAATTTGAAATGAAATGTGTGTATTAAAAAGGTCAAATGCGGAAGCGTAATAAAAATTTTGATTAAACATCCCTTACACTAAAACCAAAAACGTGCTCAGAGTATAAAAGAACAAACTAACTAAAAGAGAAACTCGAAAATAAAAGCTATAAATATGACTACGGAGTCTTCAGGCGTCCCTTCGCCGTCTTCCTGCAGAACGGGCTCGGGAACAATGTCTTCCTGATCTGAAATGATTAAATAAGGAATGAGCTACACTAGCCCAGTAAAGACATCACACTATCTCACCGTCACGGAGGTAAAGGTGGGTAGAAAACATAAAAGGACCAATGGAGCATAGTTTACAACAAATTCTTTTATCAATAATAAAATCCTTTACTATCCATTTACCTCGGTGAAATTCATAAAAACAATATACGAAAGCAATAACATTATCATCATCATGAAATCATAGGAACTGTATAACATAATACTTATCACGCCTTTTGCATCTCAATCATTTCACAACATATTTTTTCCTTATTTACCAGCCTACTAGTATCCATGGGGATCCATAGGGGTCTCACTATCCGTGAACCTTTAACACTTGTAATCAGATTCCAGGGTCGTCCCCATACCCCGTTCGGTATGGGCGCCAAAACTATAAACCTCAATACCCCATCCGGTATGAGGGTAAAACGGGCCGTCCCCATACCCCGTCCGGTATGGGCGCCAAACACATAAGGTCTCCATACCCCGTCCGGTATG